AATAATCGAGGTTTCATGTCTCCTTGAGGCTGGACAGTTCAGAATCACGATCGGGTCCGATCAGGTCAGCTCTCAGAAGCTATCTCTATTTGTCGACCAGTACAGACGGAACATCGCGCAAGCAGTCGAGATCCTAGCACCCAACACGGTCAGGGAATTCACATTGGCGGACATCCCATTACTTGCACTCGATTATACATCCATTGACAGAGTTAATCGTCAGCACCTTCCACGGCTTGGTCTCAGGTCACATCAGATAGAGGACATATATCCCTGCTCTCCATTGCAGCAAGGTCTGCTTATGAGCCAAGCCAGGAAGCAGGGCAGTTACAACGTATCCATCGGCTGGGAGGTGACGTCCCGCGAGACTGACGAGACAATCGACATCGGTAGATTGCTCTCCTCATGGCAAAAGGTAGTCGATTACCACCCTGCGCTGAGGACTATCTTTACCGACGACTTTGGTGGCAAAGAGCCCTACGCTCAAGTTGTTCTGAGACGTCCTAGAGCGGAAGTTTCAGTAACACCTTGCTCAGATGTCGATGTTGGGTCTGTGCTGGAGGAGACAATCGACCTAAGCACCAACCCTGTGGTGCCTCCCCATCGGTTTTCAATCAATTTCACAGCGGACGGTAGAGTGTTCTGCAGAGTTGACGCTAGCCATACCATCGTCGATGGCGTATCCAAGTCACTGATTCTGAGAGACCTGAAGCGAGCTTATGCGGGAACACTAAATGGACCCAATGGAGGTGCCAAGTACAGGGACTTTGTCCAATATGTTGCTGCAAATGACATGTCCGCCAGCATCACTTTCTGGAAGGACCATCTTGCCGAGGTCGAACCATGCTACTTTCCCAGTTTGGCTGAGGCCCAAGGTACACATGAGCTGAAGTACGCCGAGGTAGCGCTTGAGGTTCCTGCCAGCATTTTGCGCGACTTTTGTGTCTCCCACAGTATCACGATATCCAACCTTGTGCAGACAGTTTGGGCTCTTGTCTGTCGGGTGTATGTTGGTCGAGACGACATTTGCTTCGGTTATCTGGCATCCGGAAGAGATGCGCCCGTCGAAGACCTAGTTAACATGGTCGGGCCAACGATCAGCGTCCTCGTATGTAAGGCATTGCTAGACGACTCCACTATTGTCAAGGATGCCTTGAAGGCTTGCCAAAAAGAGTTTCTGGATTCTCTTGCACATCAGCACTGCTCGCTTGCAGAGATTCAACATGCACTTGGACTCGCAGGAATGCCTTTATTCAACACTGGCATTTCTTTCCAGACGATGACTGACGTTGACAGCGACGAAGCTGTGACTGATATGGACTTCAAGGGACTCGTCGTACGAGAGCCGACAGAGGTATGATTTCACTCGATAACAATTTGCAATAGTTAACCTGGTGTAGTACAATATTACGGTTCACGTTATCGATTCGCCGAACAACCTGGACATCAAACTCGGATACTGGACCGACAGTATCTCGGAATCCCAAGCTCAGTCCATCTCTGGAACATTCTCTGCTATTCTCAAGTCCGTGATTGAGAACCCTGAGGCCCGAGTTGATCAGCTCAGTGTTATCGGCCGGTATGATCTGTCGCAAATTGCATCTTGGAACCAGAATGTGCCAGAAACGGCATCTTCTACAGTTCCATACCTCGTGCTTCAACAGACTATGCGCACTCCTCATGCTATTGCGATTGACACTCTGGCTGAAAAAATAACTTATGAGAGGTTTGGACGAATGTGGTTGTCTCTGTCTCAATACTTAACGACCCTTGGTATAGGCGCCGGAGACTACGTGCCGCTGACATTCGAAAAGTCAGCATGGGCTATCGTTGCCATGCTTGCTGTCCTGGGTACTGGAGCTGCGTTCGTTCCGCTCGACCCTAAAACCCCGGTGGAGCGCCTCCGAGAGGCTTCTATTCAAACTGCAGCCAATGTTGTGCTGGCCTCCCCAAAATACACTTCGAATTGGGGCAATCTGGTTCCAACGATTGTTAGTGTCGATCAAGCTCTCCTCGACAAGCTAAAGCACGAAGGAGATGATCTCCACCAAGGTATCGTGAGAGCCCGCCCCCATGATGACGCCTACGTCATCTTCACTTCTGGCAGCACAGGCAAGCCCAAAGGATGTGTTGTGCAACATGCTGCCTTCTGCTCTGGAGCTCTGGCTCAAGGAAAGCTTGCCTGCTTGGGTCCCTCATCTCGAGTGCTGCAGTTTGCCTCCTACAGCTTCGACGTTAGCCTCCTAGAGATCATGACATCACTCATGTTCGGTGCATGCATTTGCGTGCCAGACGAAGATTTGAGCAAGGATATCAAGCACTGCATTAATGTGCTCAATATCAACTGGACTTTCCTTACTCCATCTGTTCTTAAACTCTTACAGCCATCCGATGTGCCCTCACTGAAAACGCTGATTCTTGGCGGAGAAGCTCTTTCAAAGGGTGATATTCTTAACTGGGCTGACAGGGTACAGCTGTACAATGGATACGGACCTAGTGAGTGCTCTGTGGCAGCAGCAGCTAACCCAGGGCTGCAACCTACTACCGATCCAGCCAACATTGGACATGCAGTTGGTGGCGTCCTCTGGGTTGTTGATGCGAAGCAGCCTTCTAAGTTACTCCCCATTGGTGCTGTTGGAGAGCTCTTGATTTCAGGCCCCATTTTGGCGAGAGGTTACCTCGGAGATCCTGAGAAAACAGCTGCTGCCTTTGTCGAACAGAAGAGTTTTGTTCCAGGATCCTGGGAGCGCGAGAGGTATTATCGCACTGGTGATCTCGTGCGATACAATGCAGATGGCACAATTCATTTCATCGGCAGAGCCGATGGGCAGGTCAAAATTCGCGGCCAGCGTGTTGAATTGGGCGAGATCGAGTACAATGTCGAGCGCGATGAGAATATCCGCCATGCACTTACTTTGCTCCCATCTCAGGGCCCGTTTAAGAAGCAGCTCTTGGCTGTTGTTTCCTTCAAGGGTTTTGATCTTCCTGTCGAGGACGGACGAGTGTCTCTCGTGCCAGAGAACAGGCGACCTGAAGTTATGGCGGTCGTGACCAGAATTGCTAACACCATATCTGCAGCCCTTCCGGTTTACATGGTTCCGGCCCTCTGGGTACCAGTGAACGCGATCCCCTTGTTGCCTTCCGGAAAGCTGGACCGGAAGAAGGTCCGACGCTGGGTCGAAACCCTGGACAATGCCACATATGAGCAGATTGCCAACATAGGAGCCAAAGCCAGCGGCCGCGGCCCAAGTACACCTGCCGAATTTGAGCTGAGACGCATTTGGGCCTCCGTGCTGAACCGACCTGAAGAAAATATCAGTATGGAGCGGTCCTTCCAGAGTCTTGGTGGAGATTCCATCTCAGCCATGCAGGTTATCGCTCAGTGTCGTGATGTCAAGCTATCGCTCGCAGTCAAAGATCTCATTCAATGTCCTACTATCGCCGAATTAGCACTGAGAGTGCGAGCTCTGGATGAAAGTGCTGAGCCAATGGAAGACGATGTCGGTGTTCCATTTAATCTCTCTCCTCAGCAGACTTGGGAGTTCGACCTGAAACAGCACTGCGATCTCAATCGTTACAACACTACATTCCTGTTATCGATCCATTCTGATTCCGACCTAGAGCCGGTAGTGAATGCAACGGTAGAGCGTCATCCCATGCTCCGTGCTCGGTTCCAGCGCGATGACTCAGGTCGCTGGATGCAGTATATCCCTCTGGACCGGTCCAATAGTCATATGTACCAGGAGATGGAAGTGCCTGACTTGAAAGCTATCGAACCATACACTGCGCCCAACCAGTCTGGCTTCGATTTGCAGCGTGGTCCATTGATGCGTGCCATAGTCTTCAAGCTTCCGAACGGAGACCGGTATGTTGGACTTACTGTACACCACATGATCATCGACACCGTTTCATGGCGCATTCTCCTCCAAGATATGCAACAAGGCTTATCCACTGAAGCAATCACCTCCCACCGTTCCGACTCATTTGCCTTGTGGTGCCGTAAGCTCAAGGAGCATGCCGATGAGATATGGACACCCGAATACGTGCTGCCTTTTTCGGTCCCTGCTCCCCTATACGACTATTGGCAAATGGAGGAGACTATGAACCTATTCGTGACCGAAACTATCCAGGAGTTCTCCCTAGACACCAATACAACCTCCCGCTTGATGGGAAAATGCAACCATCAGTATCAGACTAAGCCGCTCGACATCTTTTTGTCGGCAATCTTCCACGCCTTTAGCGCGACGTTCACTGACCGTCCGGTACCTGCGGTCTTTATCTACAGTCATGGTCGGGATGAGTTTGGCGGAGAGCTTGATGTCTCCAACACTATCGGATGGTTTACCTCCTCCACTCCGGTAGTGATCAAACCATCTGGTGATATTGTCGACGACTTGCAGGCTGTGCGAGATGTGCGCGCCAGTGTGCCGGGCAACGGGGTTCCTTACTGGGCAACCCGCTGGCTGACCGACGATGGCCATGCCGCGTTTGAGCACCACAGTCCGATTGAGTTGTCTATGAACTATCTTGGTCAGTATCAACAGCTGGAGCGCGACGATTCTGTGCTTCGCTATGTGGACGTGAACAAGCCAAAGGCGACAGGATCTGGGTCCGGTCTTCTGCGTACCGCGCTGGTTGAGACCCAGGCCATCGTAATCGGAGACTCCCTACAGATCAAGTTCGTTTATAACACGCGCATGGCACGGCAAAAGCAGCTTCTCGAGTGGCAGGCCAGGGTTAAGGAGTCGCTGATGGAAATTGCCAACCGGCTCGGGGATGGTATTGAGTGAGTGACGTGCTCGGGTTCCTGTATATAGTCTGTTTTCCCCATTCGACTACTGTTGTTTTGCGAGTACTTGTATCGTGTTGGTCATATTGTGTATATGGCGTTTGACGGTGGAGTTTAACTGGTGTTCTCGGAGATCTGTAGATAGGCAGATTCTAATGGATATAATCATACTATGAGAATCCTTGATAAGCAGTAGATGAAACTCCACCCATCTTGTCAAACGATAATCACTGTCATTGTCTAACATAAGCGATATGGCATTATTGTGCCAGATGCAGTCACGGTGGATAGAGAAGAATGGGTCTGCAGATCTCGTCTTTAACTACAGAGGCATTCCCATGATTGTAGGGTTCGGCAACGGGTGTGCCGCAAGCGTTTTTGTGTTCTTGACTGTCTCCGAGTTACACGAAACGCAGGGCAGAGCGGCTTATTGCTCTGGGGCGATTATTTCAATCCAGCAGATTGTATTGATGATGGGCTTCTCAAAATATTTTGAAGGCATTTGCAGCACCATGAGCCCTTGTCTTAGTTGAGTGATACTGTAGCTGCAGCAGGCCTGTCATCATGGCCAAATTTTGTGCCAAAGTCGGGCCTCGGAGGCTGTCCGATTGGAATTAATAGGCCATTTGTTAGAGGGGCCCATTCGATGGCGAGCAGCTCTGGTGTGATTTAGCAAATAGACAGGTATACTCTAAGCCATCAATGTGCACCTAAGCTTCTGCCTAGGTTAGTGAGTGACTCGGAAGAGCCGGTAGCAAACATCGCGACCACGGTGCCAACCGCGTATATGCCGGTCCACGGAACGGCATCCAGATCATCATGAAACGACAAGAAAATGCAGCAGAATCTGACAGCCTACTGACGGTGTGATACGTCAGGCAGAAGCAAAAAAGAGGCGTTCATTGTCCCTAAGTACGGGGAGTCAAGAGCGTGGCGGAGTCAGATTCAACCAGGGAGGGAGTAGTAGTAAGTATGGCATCCGAATCAGGCAGTCACGCGTTGCTGCCAGCAGGTGAGGTGCTTTGTCAGCGGTGCCAGATGGCGGTGAATTTTGATTGGTCGGTGCGTAAAAACAGCAGCATCCACCATTTTTGGCTTTGATGCCGGCATCTCCACTTGCAGTGAGCCGGTTCGCTGCTGCGTAAATATGCTCTTTGTGAGCTTCCGATCGAGGCCCTACCAAGTCCCTACATTTACACCAAACGAGCTACGAATGATGCGCCTCGATATCCGCTGTCCGATCGACGGCAGGCAGACAAAATGGCTGCTGTCTCATTTAATAAGCTGTCTTTTTTCCTCCGTCGCGCTTTTTCCCATAGAAATTACTCCTTTATTGGTGGCATACTACTGCTACTATATACTACCGCTAAATACACGGCGCATTAGACGAACACCACCTACCTACGTCCAGGAGCAGATACTACTACTACAACAACGGCAGTATTATAGTGCCAGAATATACCTTAATTCTGGCACTCAATCAGCTCATTTCAGTATCCATACCTTCAGACTACACAGAAAGTCATCATCATGACCACCGTCACGGCCCCCGCGCCGTGGATCACCAGCAGCCAACAATGTACTCTGGAAACATGTCCTATGTCCTACGCCCACATCACCTATCTCCCCAACCTAGGTGGCAATGCCTTCTACATCGCTCTATTCGCCTTCTTCATCCCCGTCCAACTCTACCTCGGCATCCGACACCGCACCTGGGGCTACCTCTTCGGCGCTATCTGCGGCCTCATCCTGGAAGTACTGGGCTACATAGGACGAATCTACATGCGACACAACCCATTCATTGACCGGTGGTTCATCATGTACTTACCCCCCAGCCCTCCCTCCCCCATCTCCTTCTCACCACTAATTCCCCAACCAGGTACCTCGTCTGCCTCACCATCGCCCCCGCCTTCCTCAGCGGCGCCATCTACGTCTCCCTAGCCCGGATCGTCGGGGCCTACACGCCTCAACTCTCCCGGATAAAACAGCGCAACTACTCCCTAATCTTCATCAGCTTCGACATCATCTCGCTCCTCCTCCAAGCCGCCGGCGGTGCCATCACGACGTCGGATTCCGCCTCCGAAGTCCAAGACGGAATCAATATCATGATAGCCGGTCTCAGCTCACAAGTAGCCTCCCTAACCCTCTACATCGTGATCTGTCTCGACTACGCCTTCCGGATCTACCGTCTCAGCGCACGCAACCCCTCCCCTCCATCATCAACATCAACATCGAACATGTTCCGCATGGCAAACCACAGCAAGCAAGAATCCGAAAGCCAGGACCTCGTCTCACCATCTCGAGACCTGGTAACCCTGAACCCGGACTTCGCGAGCCTCCGGGCAAGTAAACGGTGGAAAGCGTTCCTATTCTGCCAGGGGTTAGCCGTCGTGTGTATTTACATCCGAAGCTGTTTCCGGGTCGCGGAGCTGTGCGGGGGGTTTAGTAGCCATTTGGCGAATGATCAGACGACGTTCATGGTCTTGGAGGGGGCGATGATTAGTATTGCGGTGATTGCGATGAGTAGTTGGGGGCATCCCGGGGTGGGATTTCATGGGAGGTGGGATGCGTTGAATTATCCGATGTTTCAGAGGAAGAGGAAGGGGGTGGTGGATGTTTAGATGGGTTTCTTTTGTGGATGGATTTGATAACAAGAGGAGGTAGTGGTGAGGTTTGTGTTCCGTTTCATTTTCTTTTTGTGTGTCTTCTGGATTGGTGTAACTTCACTTCTAGTATTATATTCGTTGTTTGGGCTGGCTGGGTGTTGGGTGTTTTGTATACTAGCTTCGACTAGATTTGCATCTATGGGATAGAATATGCATTGGATCTTCTAGTTCGGTTTTTACGGGTATCTTCGACTAGTTGATTATACCCCCTGTCACTAGCGACCCGACATGTTGCATGGTATCAGTATTCTTGGCTATCTGATCACTATCTACCTATCAACATGAACAATGGCATGATAGTACTATCCTAGTCACAAACCAGCTCGAAATGAACGCGTCTCTTCGGCACCACAACCACCGGAAGCTTCAGGAGAAGAAGACCTCCCATAAAGAGGCTTTGCGCGGCATTCCAGTTGATCGGTCTCTTGAAGCGAAAGGAGCGAAAGAACCGGCCAACCTTTCGTTCAGCCAACAGCCAGACCCAGGTTTTTGAGGGATCCGGGTGTTCACCAGAGTAATTGTATGAGTTTCTCCGCTCATCGAAGTCTGTTCGATTTTGCAGATCATCGTCACTCTCAGGTCGTCGTTTTTACTTCCTGGCTTCCGCAGAATCCCTTTGGCCGGGCCCTTGCCTTTGTCTTCTTCTCGAAGTTGCGGGATTATGTAGACACGCGGTTTCTGTCGACTCCCCTCGCCCTGGCGACTTTTCTCTCGCGGAAAAGCTGATTTCGACGTAACTTCAAGATCTGTACCGCTTTGTCCGTCTGAGGACGCCTGAGCATCTTCACTGGAAAGGATGTCATCCCCAATTCCGGCCGTCTCGCCTTGTGGATTTTCGCAGTCCTTTTTTATTGCACCTAATATCTGCTGCAGCACCGCGTCCATCTTATTTTCAAGCGCTGCTAGTTCCGAGGGGGGAACTCGAGAGTCATTAGGGTATGCGCGCTCCATTGTGCCGCAGATCACCAAAGTCCGCTGATCAATGATATCGAGCTCGATTGAGGTTGGGATGGCACCGGCAAGTTCTCCATCCAGATAGTACACGTCCTTGAAAAACCGTATATCGAATGCAGGCTTGATGCGCTTGGGGGTACCGACTGGTTCCTGAAAGAATTTCCCGGGTTGGCCCCTGCAATCAACGTAGCCAATTCTGATCTCATCCATGTTGTCATATTAGGGAGGCCTCCGTAACAAAGTGTGAGAGGTAACAACTGTGCAAGCAGGATCGTTGATAAGGATGTAGGTTATCTCGAGTGTGGTTAGGTGAAGTCTCTTCCAACGACTAAGCAGAGTTTGAGAGCTGCTGAGGTGTTGCCTGACTGTTGCGAACTTTAGAGAAGTAGGCGCAGCGAGATGCCTTAGCAAGGAAGGCGCGCCAGCCCAACCTTTGGACCATGCGCAGCCCACTCAGCATAAAGAATGCCGAAACACAGAATAGTGCATTTCAGGAGCCCAACTCGAGCACTAGACCTATGTCAAGTCGCGACCACAAAGCCTCATAGCGTATATGTCCCACCACAGTCTGTTGAACCGCACGATAAGGGATTGGGGTATTGGTGCTGGCGATCGTATCGAGAATTCTTGGCAATTACTCCGATTCCGACTCATCAGGCTGCATAACCTTATCATCAAGCTCCTAGTTCCTTATCAGCCTCAGGCCACCAACAACTCTCATCGACATCCCTACCTTTGTCAATCTCGCCTTTAGATTCTGCAACTGGCTCTCCTTGATAACCAAATGGCGGTCATCATCTAGATCTTCGACGATGTAGTCGTGTCTTTCTTCGTCGTATTTGAGGATGATGGCTTTCACGGACGGATCGCACTCGATGAGGACTCCTGTTTACGCCTTGGTTAGCGATTGAGCGGAGTGGGCGTTGCTGCGGTTAAAGTACCTCTGACAGCACGAGGCATGATGGGTGATATGACAAAAAAGTGGCTGGGTTCGGGGTAAGGTAACGGTGCTGTGAATTGAAGGTCGCCCAGGAGCTGCTGAGGTGTGGCTTTGTGAAGAGTGAAGGTAACGTAGACCGACAGCCGGAGAATCAAGGCGATCCGGGTGTGCCAAGACTCCGCCAGGCAGAAAGGCGGTAAGGCAGCAAGGCAGCAACACGGCTCGTACCGGCTGATGAAGCATTGCTCTTGTTTCGCTTACTATAGATATAGCTACTTGAATATAGAGGGGCCCATAAGTCGCTATGATTATATTGAAGAAAACAGAAGACCAGCAGAAAATCATGTCTGACTATTTTAGAGGCGTGAGTTAGTCTACCATACCAGTGGGTACTCCGCATTCACTGCTCTTCCGCCGTCGCCTCCAGATCCCCAGGATCTTGCGGTTTCTTCCCCTTATACGGCGTCCACCCAGTCCCAGCCTGGGCCGCCGCCGCAGCAATGGCCAACACACAAGCACCCAGTAGCAATGTCTTTACGGCCTGTTCGTAGCTATGAACAGCGACCGCCCTCTCCACGCCCGTCAGGCGTTTCGCCAGTGCCGGACTTCCGAGCAGTTTGCGAACCAGCTCACCTCTATTGGCAAGTCCATGTTTCATGAACCCCGTTTCAAGCCCTCGCTTCAGCTCACGCTGGAAGTAGCCTCCGCCAATTGAGGATCCGAAGCTGCCGGCGAAACCCCTACTCATTCCCAGCAAGGCACTGATAACATAATGCATGTCTGGGTCGGTGAGGTGCAGCAAGTGAGATAGGGTGTAGTTCATGACTGCCCCGACAGAGAGTCCATTGAAGAAGCTGGCGGCAAGATAGGCGACCGTGGAAGAGTGCGGTGTGGAGAGAACGGATAATACGAGGTTTGTCAAGGCGAACAGGAAGAAGGCGATGAGACCGGAGCTGAAGTGGAATTAGATGGGCTGTACTCTGCTCCAGGAAACGGTCAAAAACACTTACATATAGTAGCTGCCCGTTTTCCGAATGTGTATCCATCCGACTAGGAGTCCTCCTAAGCCGAACCCGGCGTTGGTTGGTACCAGAATCAAGCCTGCGGTGGCAGGAGACCAATCGCGAACGACAAGTGCATAGACTGGCGAGTAGAAGAGGACTGCCCAGCGTGCCATCATACAAATGGCACCCGCCAAGCAGCTGAGCAAGACGCTCCTCTTCTTGAGTACTTCCATCGGGATTATGGGGTCGGTAGCGAATCTCGATTCGATCAAGACGAAAATCCCCAGGAAAACGAGCGATAGAAGGATAGGCGTTGATTTGACCACTGCCGCAGCGAGGCTTGAAAGTAATAGGAAGACGGAGATGGTCTATAACGATTAGGATTTGCTAGCCAAACATGGACGAGCTCTTACCAACGTCAATGCCCCAGCATAGTCAACCTTCGCCAACCTCCGTAACAGAGCGCGTCCACTTAGGTGCTCATCCTCTGGGCGTTTCGGGATCGCCAAATATTGTACGGGGCCCAGTATCAGAGCTAGAGGTGCTTGAACCCAGAAGATAATCCGCTATATCCATGGTGTTATTTCACAGAGCGCTATATGTGGTTATTAGGGTAACTTACCCATCCGTAAGCCGGCGTCAGAAGACCGGCTAGCACGGCCCCAGAGGAGACACCGGTAGTCATCCCGGCGCTGATTAGACCGATGAAGAGACCTCGGCGCTTTTTGCTCGTTAAATCGAGAGTCAAGACAAAGGCAATGACCATTTGCCCGCCAGCACCACATCCCGTAAGAGCTCGTCCCAAAAGAAAAACAGCCAGTGTGGGAGCCAATGCTGTCACGAAGAGACCAATCGACAATAATGTGCAAGAAAATAGAATGTATACACGAGGCGTGAAGATTTGGGAGAGTCGACCGGAGAGAGGTGTGAGGCTGGACATGGCAATCTAGTAACAATGGCATTAGCATGTGGATCCCCGGCACATGGCTCGATAGAAGGTTATGTACCAAAAAAGCCGAGTTGAACCATGTCGTTTCAGAAAAAGCATCCAGATCAGCCGCAATCTCAGATTGCGCAGTGGTCATCATCGACATATTGGTTGCTGATAAATGTCAGCTTGATGCATCTGGATCACAAAGGAGCTCCCATACTCATAATGAACAGCAACAATCCCATGGCGGCCACTATCGCCGATCCCCTCCATCGAGACACTTGAATTCGCGCCAAATCTTCCCCATTGTTGGAAGATTCTCCCAAAAGAGGCGTTGTCTCCTCCGGGACTCCTTCTGGGCGTTCCTGGGCCGTCATATTGTGTATTCGAGTAGTCTACAGATTGTGTCTAAAGGAGAGAACGCATCCCCGCTGACCCATATCTGTTGTTTGGGCATCGACAGCGACGGGGAAATGATGTGATAAGGGGACCCAAGCTCGGGATGAGCGGAGGCGCATTTCTAAGCAATAGTAATAATGTTGCGGCCCTGACCAGGATTCCATCCGGTTGGGGCATCGATAACTGTTATCGGGGCCAATCATGGAGACGTATGAGATCGGATGGCCCGCAAAGCTTCCAACAGCCTTGCAGAATACAAAAGTACGCGGTACGTGTGCCTGTTGGTAGCCTTTCAGCTTGTCTGGTCCGTGGGTGTAGTCGTGACGTAGGCACCGTACATTGTCCAGCTGTCTGGACCCTAATGGCTCTATGGAGTTATGCGCTGTGACAGGCGGTTGGACTAACGGCATGTCAGTTATGCAGGCTGCATCGGAGGCAGTTAGACCCGACTTGCCGATGGTGGAGACTGACGGGAAACAATCTCATAGTGAGGCGGTTGATTTGATGGGGAGAGATTCCCGATGGAAAATGGAAGGTTTTCGGGGAATTCTTCCCAGGACTCGGCAGCAGGTGATATAGGTGCCTGAGGCAGAACAATGGATCAGTACCAGGTGATATGAGATATGCAGCCAAGATATCTGCAGTGTCGAGTGATGACTGCAGCTGACTGCAACAACGGAGTATATAGTATAGGAAATGAGACTTGCAGAATTTTAATCCATCCTGGATCAATAAAATATTGGCTGAATTTGTACTACTTGCAAGAGCAACTGCAACGATGAGGGCAACAATATATATTTGGATGCTCGGGCTAAGCCTACTGGCAGTGGATGCACAGCATGACCGAACGATAGGTATTGAATCTCAAGTTCAACTACTAGTATACTACCACTTACTACTAAGTTGCTTTCAAAGAGATTGGAACTTAACTAACTGAACTAATTAATAGCTGGGACAACTCGCGCTAAGCAAGAACCGATGCCCGATTCTATCGCCTCGGCGCAGAAGGTGCTTGGCGACACCGCTGACTGTATGTTCTACACGACTACCCAGACCACACAGATACAGATGGACTGAGAACCGTTTAGCCTGCTACGCCTGCTCGTCGCCTTGCTCTCGCGCTGTCTGCTGTCATGGAGAATTCCCCCAGTGTTGCTCAGATGGCGTCTATTGCTATTGCTGCCAAGACTGATTGTTTCTGGTGTCTTGTTCGAAGGAGTCAACCAGGGCAAATATTCATGTAAACTTAATCGCTAGGCTTTAGCTAGATTGGCACATCGAGACGATGTCGTCTGGGATGTACGGCTGAAGAATTCGTATGAAAGACGATAGAGGTATCCAATCCAATATGCCATAGATTGTCTCGATCGCATGTCCGCTATACAATACGCGAGCGTATAATTCTTCTTCTGATGTTTCCCTATAGCCTCGTGAGCCCATACTGGATTTACTCGGGAGTTGTGGTTGAATGGATCATAACGTACCAGATTTCAAACGCAATGTTCGATCCCATACCCGGCCACCGCAATGCTTTAATGCCCAGCGCGCCAAGAATGGGTCCGATATCTCCATCATGGACGAAGCTGTGGCTATACACTAATTCGGATGTCCCTTGCTGCACCGCTTCTAGATGGCGAACAATGTCTCCGATGAACAGACCTTCGACCAGTTGGATGTACCGAGTAGCGTTCGCGTTGTGTCGCCACCAGTAGTTCCATTCCCAGTCGCCCGCACGGAACACTTCTTCTGCCTGGCTGACAGTAGCACATTGAGTCTCATTTTGCGGGCTGCAGGGTAACTCATAACCATTGCAGAGGCGGGCCTGGAAATTATCCGAGAAATGGTCAAAGGTCGACATCCAGCTGGAGGTATCGGCGTCAAACATGGTCGCCAGCTGACTGCGAAGCGACTGGGTCACTGTCAGATGCTCGTTCCACTCTACCGTGGATTCAATGGCGGAGAGCACCTCGCTGCGAGCGGTACAGGAGTATCCTTGGTCGACCGTGTCGACCCCGGACGCCTGCTGGTGTAGCGGCAGGGGTGCGTTATATTCGGGCCAGATACCTCGCAAGACCCCACCGGCGGATTCTTGGGTGAGGGCTGAAGTACTCGAGCGGAGCCAGATCTTCTTGCCATCGTCCTCGTCTGGTGATGATGGGATGAGCTGCAGTTGATCCCGATACACAGCGCCGAGGTCGCGACCGTGCTGATAGCCATCGAGATAGCCCCCAATCGTCGATTGAGGATACTGACACGATCCATTGACGTAGTTTGCCAAGAATGGGTTGGAGGGATCGGAATACGTTTGGCCATACACAGGGATCGGAGCGGGGCCCTGGGAGGTCGGAGAGACGTAGAGATGAGCCTGGAGGTTGTTGCAGTGATATTCTTGGTTCTAGAACAACATTAGCTAGACCAATCAGGTACAAAGAGTTGGGCTCATACCTCACCGTCCGGAAGAATGTTGTAGGGGGTGCGGCGTTGATGTCGCTGCACGTATTCGAGGTAAACTAGGCGGGCAGCGACGGACTGGTTGGCCACGGGAGGGGGAAGCGAGTATGTCTCCACACGGGGATGGGGCATGGAACAGTAATTGTAGACATCCTGAGCGGTTGGAGTACTGGCTTGATCTGCTGGGGCATTGTAAATGCCACCATAAGTGCCGACGGAGGCGTTGGTGATGTAGGTGGTGTGGTTGAGGGGAGGGTAGAAGGTGTCACGGGCCGCGAGGGCGGGATTGCCTGCGGAGAGCAGCAAGGAGAACAACGTGGAGATCATGTCAAGGAACCCTTCATAGATGCTGGACATCGTGACTCCGGGTGGTGGGGAGTCCAATCAGGTATAAATACTCTGTTTTCATCACTTTCTCGTAGTCCCATGGTGGTCTTCCTGTGGTGTCGTGCAATTGAATCTGGTATGCGAAGACACCACTCAGCCTGCCTTTTGCCGACGGTCGGCTTCCACTCAGTTGCGACAATCTCCCACGTGCGGGATTGCCTCAACCCTACTTAGCTAACGATAGTGAAGACAACCCACGTGGGTGAAGCTAGACCGCTGCAGGACCAACTTACTGGTAATGAATAATATACATTTGGTCCCTTTGGCGACAATGAACCTTCACAGATACCTGCGTCGTGTCAAAGGCACTTCATCCCTAAGGCTGTCATCACGTGGGCGCGACTAGTGTGTGCACTATCCAGGGCTAACTGACTTGTCAGCTTAGCCAGAAGTCATTGACGCACATTGCTAGAATCTCCAAGCTGCGATACCTAGTTCAGCTTAAGCAATGGATACGAACGCAGGAACCGCGTGCTCAGTGCTTGGCCCGCCAGAATTCCCCAATCATCGATCTGATAGTCGCCATGATGAACCCCGAAGACAGCCCGCCGGCTTCTTGTTTGTCGATTATCAGGACCAGGCTTCCCACGGCTCAACGTTGGCCAAGAAGAAGCAGGCCTTCATCAAGAAGGTCTATCATCAGTCCAAAAAGGAACGACGACTGCAAAAGCTGAAAGCTTCCATCGGCCCGCTGCCGACCCAGCGGGCCAACCCATACAATCTTCCGCCAAACCCAAGATCCCCCACATTCCCCATCGAACAATACGAGGGAGGATCCAGCTCCTTCGACCGAGCGTTGCGGCCCGCTGGGATTGATCCCTTTGCTTCGCTCTGCGTGCCTGCCAAGACCAGTGTGGATTTTTACTTTGACCACTGTGAGTAGTAGTAGTAGTATCTAATCTTACCTCGTCCGGTCGCAGCAGCGCCAGTGACCTCTCTGATCATTCCTTCCAGACCGGACCGAATGTTCCTGGTCGATTTATCCCTTCGGAGCGACGGGCGTAAGCATGTGGTGGTGGCAGCAGTCAATCGAGCAGCCGGCCCTCTTGTACATCATCCTGGCAACCAGTGCCTCCCACCGAGCCGGCCGGGGCCTCATTGCGCAGGCCCCCAAGGCCGCCCGAGATTCTTATCGGGATTCCCTAGAGTACCGGCAAAAGACTCTAACAGAACTCCAGAGCATGATGCAGATTCCAGGCACGAGCACAAGTTTACTTCGGTCTATGGCAGTGATCATCGCCCATATGATCTGCGTAGAGGTTCGTTTCTTTTCTCCCTCAATCTCACAATTATTCGTCTCACCTAGCACATTGGAATGAGAGGATTAACTAGACCATGATACGTGGTTCGTCACTTAGGCCGCAGATACCAATTTGGAAGCCGTAGACGGCCATGTGCGCGGGATGATCAAGATAGTTCATCTGGTGGGCGGCCTTGATACGTTCAGTGACGTAGACGCTCCCATTATCTACAGGTGGGTTGAACCACGAATATACTACCCACATCAAAAGTACCATCCATTAACCAGTGTGGTTCGTCCCTCTCTAGTGCCAATTTTATGAGCGCAGCTGCCAGAGGCTCGGCACCGCCCTTGCCGATAACCATGGCTTGGAAAGCCAGAGTACTTGAAAGCCTGTATAGCCTCACTGCGACCGACGACGTCCTGCATGCTTCTTCAATCGGCTTTCGCTTATTCAACTCACCGTGGTCACAAGCGATCCTTCCTAGTTTGCGATCTATCATTAAGCTGTTCCAAAAAACCACGCACTACATGTGTAATACTGGACCCGTGGAAGAAGCTCCTGTACTCAACGACTGGTTGGTCTACACAGCCCAACAGTTGTTGTTGATCGCCCCAGTCTGCATGCCCTCTAACTTGCAGGAGTGCCTGCGACTATCAGTACTGCTCTTCGCTGCAGTCCAAGTCTGGGGCTTTCAGGGCTTGCTATTCCTAAATCAGCCCGTACTGGCTTTCCACTGCCGCTTGGAAACTGCGCTTCTCTCTATTCAACGCATGGCGCCCGATTTAGCTTTCTGGATGCTCTTCACCGGCGGGATTGCAGCAATGGGCCATTATAGTCGTGGATGGTTCGTAGACCGCCTCGCCTCGGTCGCCGGCCAACTATGCCTCACCACGTGGGACAGCGCGCGGACCTTGTTAGAACAGTTTCTCTTCTTCTCTCGGCCTACTGATACCCGCGCTGAGATACTCTGGAGGGAAGTAGAAAGGCAACAGGATTTGTTGCCGGGTCCGTAACAACTATCTAGTTTAATCAGAAATGGTTCAGGTTTTACTGGGTTTTGCAAAAGTCCGATTATGGGCCGCCGAGCACCAGTGGCCCCATTCCAGAGCCAAATTTGGTGCTACTAAAGGCGTTTCGGGAGTAGTACAACTTTGCTAGTGGAAAAGGGCCCCGGCCCTGGCATGGAGAATTTAGGAGAATGCACCAATGGATCTTATAATTGGCGGGGAGGCCCGAAGGGTACTTTCATCTATTTTCACTAGCGACATTGGAAGTTTGAGAGGCCATAAATTAGAACCAGCGCCCACCCCCCCCGGAAAAAAAAGCCCCCTCACCAAATTCATTTGTTAATAGCAACGGTCAGAATGAACTTGGATATCGTTCCTAACTGGCTCCGGATGTACGTTTCTCTAATAACGCCAAGACGCCCACATTGACACCGTAGACAGTATCCTCCTTATTTTGAGCATCGCCTCCTTTTTGCCGCAGTTGCAGCGAATATGGCGTACGAAGCAGTTTACGGGCCTGTCGCTCTCATACGTCCTCTGCAACTTGATGAGTGCGACAGAGCAGTTTACTCTACTGTTCTTTCTACTCGTCAATCAGACAGAGAACGTCGATGTCATCCATAAGACCACTGGAGATTGGATCAACCTTGCCCAGCTGTGTGCTGTTTGGATACTATGGGTTTCATTGTATGCTCGAGCCACTACTGAAATTTTGCACGCAGCTGTTAACCATGACTAGGTTTTCTTTGGGTCTCTACTACCCCTCAGACCAGCACAGCCGTGGACGCAAGGTTTCTGCCTTGCTCCTGTACATTGTGCACTTGCTTGTCTCTGTTGTCCCTGTTGTTGCTGATGCCATTGATTATTATCTCGTCAGCACCGGAGAGGATGCAGCATACCGCAACTTCGGGCTCGATATCTTTGGCGGATACCACTATGGCTTTATTCACCCGGCAATGACTCTAGTAGGAATCTATGCCTGGTTTCCGCAGAATGACGAACTTCATCGTCAAACCCAGGTTCACTCCCTCAGTCAGACCGGTCTAGCTGCTCAGGCGGTGATATTCGCATTTGTTGCTATCTCGTGGACCATGAGAACGAATTTATACAACAGTAACCTTCCAAATCTCCCTTTCTGGGCTACCATCCCTGAATGGTTTATTTATGTGTGGTGGGCGGCAGTAGATAATATGATATTTTCCTGCGTTCAGACTAGACTTTATCTCAGGGTACGTCACCGTGAGCAGTCCTCCACAGACCAGGAAACACAACCTTTGCTCTCAGAAAGGGCATCGCAAAGTGAAGAATGAGAGCCTTTATGTTTTCATACCTTTATACTATTACGTGGGAAATAAAGTTTGCAAGTTACTGTTGGCACTGTATAATTATTCTTTTTCTACAATGCGAAACTCAATCGCATTTGACGCCGGTATCACGAGCTGAGGTCGACCCCCATTGTCCGCCGGATCAGTCACCTTCCCCCAAGGATGCGGAGGTATCTGGACATTTGTGTCGACATGTTCGTCCACTCCCCCGTAGTCCCACCAGTCCACTGTACCACCCTTGAAGCGATAACGCCATATATCTCCTACTTCCCAACCATAGATGTCCTCTAGGATTATCCAGGAGGGACTCCAGTATTCTCCCGGCTTAAGAGTAATGAAGCCTTCGTCCTCGACCACATTGACTGTGATATTAGGATCATCCAGAAACAACCCAGCACATCCACAGGGGCCCTCCTGAAGCTCCCACAATCCGCTCTCTAGACGATAGGAGCGAAGCAGCTCCCAGATCACATGGTTACGGAATATTATTGGCTGATCTGTGGGGCCACCATGGTAGCGAACATGCAACGATGCATAGTGTTTTCCCTCGGGGGTAATTATCTTCGGACCCGAGAGCTCTACGCTCAGTATGGGGGCGCCCTGTCTGTTTGATAAAAGTGTGAGCCTTTCGGATTACTGAGAATGGGAATCTCGGCACCTGAATGAGCGAAATGACTTACACACGGTCTGATGGCAGTAATGGTGGGGTGGATTGCCGGCGAATGAAGGCCGGAGACTCTATCTGCTCATATGTAAACGTAACACGTGGACCTCCCGGTAGAATCAAATCCGGCTGTGTCGGACTAGCAGTCAGGCGGGACTCCACATGTTCACTAGGGACTCCCCAGTCCCAAAAAGGAATCTTTGTACCGGTCCAGACCAGCTCGTAAGTTTCGCCGGGTTCCAGCTGCTCCCTGTACCTGCGTGGAAGACTGTGACAGTAGGTGATGGAACCGCCTGGCTCTAGCTCCTGAAGGTCACTAGGGTACTCCACGTGCACCATGTCTAGAGGATCTAGGGTCGCATCTGGTACATGTACCCTTTCCAGCTTACCCTCTGAGGTGTGTCGTAGGAGTATGAATTCATCTTTACTATACCCGTCATTAAGGGGAGACCATATGAAGACAAAAGGCCTTGGGTCATCATCGTGTGTTGATCGACTGAGAGTATACTGTAAAAGCGGACAGAGTTCAATCTCGAGCTGGATAAATGGGGTTTTAGGACTTGGGTATGGGAGTAAGTGTCTGATCTTGACGGACAGTCCGGTTCGAATAACAAGGTGGGGACGGGTAATAGAGAGAAAGAGGGAGAGGGGGATTTGGGTACATACTGTCTATCCTTGGATGAAAATTTTATGTAAGAGCCAATTTGCTGGTCCATTTTTAGGCTTTCGCCGACTGTGAAATGGACAAGCAGGAATGAGTCTGGCTTTAAGTAGTACTCGTTAGTACAGACACGATGTCACCTTGACTAAAGTCGACGGCCCTATGGAGGGTACTAGCTAGCGATAGTAGTGAAGCTAACCTACGTGGATAAAGCTAGACCGCTGCAGGACCATTTCCCCCAATGAATACATTGGTCGGCTTGGCAACAAGGGACTCCCACAGAACATTGTCTTTCTCTTCGCGATATCTCATCAAGGGCTTCTTCTTTGTCGATTATCGAGACCAGGCTTTACAGGGCTCAACGGTAGCCTAAAAGAAGCAGGTGTTCATCAAGAAGATGTACCATCGATCCAGATTTTCAATAAATTGACAGCTAAATTCTTATTCTGTTATCAATCAAGAACACACGTTATCCCCCTAGACGATGACGATAGAATTCCAACATGGCCCCTAAAAAATTTCTACATAAGCATTCACACATCCTCCGAAGAGCTCTGGCACTATCAAAGTTATAGCGACAGCTTTGAACTAACGCTGCAATCCCGGGAGGCGAATGAAACACACGCGGTGAGTAAAATCAAGTTATACAGCGCGATGTACCACCTGTAAGAAACTCGGTCATGCTCGATGGTTTTGAAACGAATTAATCGGTAGATGAGCCCTAGGGTGAGAAGACTTATGAGGGAAGTCATAAGTACCGTGGGCAGAGTGTACCCAAACTCGAAGACTCTGTGAGTGATGAGGATATACTACGTGGTTGTTCATGTCAGCTCCTGCGTTCATCATTCATTTGGTAGTAGGGAGGAGGATAAATATGATGAAAGCGTACCTCGGTTGTAACTAGTCCCATCGATGCATAGATACGGGCTACACATGATAACAATCAGAAACGAATGAAAAGGAACATGCAATAGGTGTACGACTCATGCGTAACACATACCCGGGAAATCCCCCAAAAGGATAGGTGTCGTTCTACGCCCCGCGGCCAAATCACCGGGAACATCACGAAAGTCCTGAATGGGAACGGTGAAGAAAATCCAGAGGATAATTAATTTAACCCATCTCCAGCCGTCATGCATGTCGGAGCCACCCAACTTCCAACAGGCCATGAGTTGGGAAGTGACACCTAGAACGATGCAGAGATCTTTTGCAGGGCCTATTCTGGATGCTCGTAGCAGATAGTGGGAAACGAGGACAGCTATCCAGAGCAGAGACCAGATGTAGACGTCTAGGATATAGCTCAATAGGAGCCATGTTGCTGATGCGAGGTAGAATCGTAGTTTGGCTGCAGCCACGGTGGTTTGGGACTGCACTATTGGGCGATTTGGCTTGTTAATCTCGTCTTCGATTGTGCCTCCGTCGGCATTGTTTGCTAGTTCCGTGCTGTAGTAGAAGAAGAAACCGTAGAGTAGTGTATCTGTGTTGTACGGTTAACTACTATGAGATGTCATGAGTGGTAGGTCAATCGTACTGGTGAGAGAAGATACGGCTTCTTCATAGGTTGCCCTTCGGTATAGTAACGAAGCGGTAGCAAAGATGGGGAAAGGGACAAAGGCTGCGTCAAAGTTGCTTTCCATGAACGCGTATGATAGTTGGATTTCTCGCTTTACTGTTACATAAAGCCAGTAGAGGACGTTGTTCCAGGGGACAGATCTGATCCTGGAGTTGTTGACACGATCAGCCGCGAGGCTCATTCTGTAGATGTAATGAAGTTAGAAAAGGGGTGGTGGAAGTAGTCAGTGCCAGACTCAGTGGCACAGCTTGAATTGTGTCGAGAAGTCTACTTTCTATATAAGGTTTCTATGAAGATGAAAACAACCAACGCCACTTCCGCCAAAGGATATTATGCCAGAAGACCAAGACATGTTTCAGTTGCTTTCGGACTCTCTAACTTTAAGCGTGAGAAGGTCTAAAGCGCTGGCACAGTAGACGGTGTCGCGTAGCCGGCAAACGGCCTGATGAAGACGACTTCATCACGACGGGTCTTGTCCAGAACGACATCGTGAGTCACAATGCCGACATAGGAACTAAAATTGAACCATAAATGCTACTCCAATCTGAATTCAGCACTATGGAGGTTTGGGTCCGTGGAGTGCAAGAATGCTGGTCCGAAATTTGGCAGTTCAAGCCGGAATAAGTGATCTGAAGTCCTTTCTTCGAAGGGCAAAAGAGACATCGAATCGAACTTCAGATACGTGCACCTACTATGATCACAGCTGTGAGATTTTACACATGATAGACAATATGGTGTGAAGAGAATATTTATAGGGCATCACAGTACGCATGATAAGGGCGACAGGTGTTCGATCCATGCGTCCACTCATTAGCTCGTGTTTAGCATCCCTACCAGTAATTATTTATATGACTACTTCCCAAGAGAGCAGTGCATGCTTTGTATCGGAGTGTCAACCGCAGTCTAGTGAGATAGTTACCTGTATGCTTCCGGCGAAGAAAGTCTATATATGAAGTAAGTTTACCCCAGCTTGAGACATTATAGTTACTAGTACAAGAGGGCATTGATGTATTGGCCGGATGCAGAGAAGGGTCTATCAGCCCCAAGAGGAATGTATGCTGTCCTGGGGACCGACTGCAGGGTACGATGAATGGGTAACCCTGAAAAAGAAAGAAAAGAAGGCCAATGTTGACGGGTGACAATTGTCTCAAATGCTTCTGTCTAATGATTCCGTGGCGCTGGTTTAGGGCCTCAGGCAGGGATCGCGTCGCAACAGACCTATGTATCTCCGCCCCCCATGCGCCTTTCCCCCTACGTTGGCTTTCTCGGCTAAAATGAGACCCTTGATTCTTGTGATGGAGTGCTTCATTGCTAGCGGCATGAAGATTTGCTCTTCCACAGACAAAGTGGTGTATGTGTGGGGATGCTTGTCCCTCTTGATCAATGAACACAAAAGGGATGCACCAAAGAGGGCACGAACTTCGGGAGCGGGGACCCGCCAGCGCGGGGCACTTTAATGGGCTTAAACCATCGACCGACGTTGAATTTTGAGGAAGGATGCCGGTAGCGTGTTGCCAAGCTTTGCTAAATGTTAGTGGGAGGGTCAGGGATATCATTTGTCCCCTTCACTAGTACCCATGTCGGCCATGGTTAAAAACAATCCAAAGATCCTAGTTATACGTAGTAGATACTTGCTATATTAAATACTATTGACTCATGTTACTCCTTCTGCAATCACCATAGCTGAAAAAAAATATGCTGAACACAGCAACTAACGATCTCGTATTTAACCGCAGATACCCCCTCGTGGAATCCTTCACGCCGATCACGGACTTAGAGCGAGGCTATGGCGCATGGCCTTCTTCACATTTTCGCGTGGCAGTTTGGGGGCCGAGTTTCACTCTAATTTCCATAAGGGGGGCAGACGCACCTCCCTGTTTGTTTCTGCCCGCTCATGTTTGACATTTTTCAGTTCATGAACGCCTCCCTTTGTGGTGGTGGTGGTGGTTGTTCAGAGACACCATCCAGTTGACCTTCACGATGAAAGGTCTCGCGCAGATCGTCGGGCTGTATGCCTCTTTCGCCGCCGGGAGAAAATACTGCACCCGAACTTTTCATTCTTGTGAGTTCGCATAGTGTTTGTGGGATTTCTTGGCTGCGTATCTTGCTGACTCTGTGTCTAAGCTATCATTAATAACCAGACTTTGTTCATTGACGGTGGGGAGGTGCGCTATCTGGAGGATAATAATACCATTTCGGCATATGCCAGTATGTTTTACCTCATGTGTGTATGATTTGCTAGCGAACATTGTGTTAATATCTCGGGGTTCAGTCCGCGACCTGCAGACCGTCGACGTCTCCAAATCTTTCTCGAATACCGATTCAGATCTCTTCACTCATATCGACAAACCGTATAATGCATCCGACCCGGACGAGTATCCGACTTTCCTTGATGAGGGCTCCGCGTTCAACGACGGCGAGAATCTCTACTTCTACGGCGGGTATAAGAGCGGTCGCGACGGCCCGACGACCGTCCCGCCCGTGGAGACGTGGAAATACGACATCCAAAACAATAACTGGACGAAAGATGGATTCGGGGGCGTGCCGCTGGTTCGGCTGGTAGAGGGAGGGGCAGTTGTTTCGCAGTCCCAGAAGAAAGCGTACTATCTTGGGGGTGTGGAAGACCCGGGCGGAAATCCGAACATATATGGTACTGCGGGAGCGGACGTGGAGATTGTCAGTGGTTTGTTGGTCCTGGATCAATCGACCCTGCAGTGGTCCAATTTATCGACGTCGGAGATGAATAATTATGGCACGATTGGAGCGGGATATGTGAATATTCTGGAGGATGTTGGGGATGAGGGGCTTTTGGTAGCCTTTGGTGGGTATAAGTATCCTGTCGGGCATAAGCTGTCGCTGCTCTGTTCGAGCCAGACAAATACGACCTTTCATGTACGTTTGACTACTCGGTTATTGCTGGGGGTGTCAGCTAACGAGAGCCAGAACCCTATGGAGTACGTCAGCCTGTACGATATTGCGAACCAGAAATGGTACACGCAGCAGACTACCGGGGATATTCCGAACTGGCGGATGGCTGGCTGCAGCGTGACTGTGGCAGCGCAAGATCGGTCATCGTTCTCCATGTAAGTATAAATGCTTAAGCTCAATCGTTGTGGATACTGATATCTCCAATTCAGCTACATGTTTGGCGGGATGGCCGCGACGACTGCAAAATCTGACGGTGATGTATACGTTCTTTCACTGCCGTCGTTCAGATGGATCCGCGTGAACGAGGGGAGCAGTATCCGCGAAAAGCACACATGTAATGTCCTAGGAAAGCATACCATGCTCGTGGTTGGAGGAACGATCCCAACAGACAGTTCGGAGTATGAGCCAAAGCCGGTGAACTGCGACACGGGCACCTTTGAGAACGGACTAGCCATCTTTGATCTGAACCAGCATACCTGGCTCACTGATTATAATGCCGATGATCAATCAGAGTATGCCCTGAGCTCAGCAATCACCGATGTGATTGGGGGAAGGTACGTAAATTCGATCGAGGGATCAGTTTTGCTTCAGTGCTGATGAACCACGAACAGCTCGACGGGCGGTGCTAATGTCACCGAACCAAAGAATGGGTTCAACGACACGACGTTGGCGACCATGTTCCAAAAGGCAGTTATCACCACTACCACCAATTCCACAACAGGTGATAACTCGACATCGACATCGGCCAACGGCAGTAGCAGCAGCACCGGCAGCTCCAAGGGCAGTTCACTATCTAAAGGGGGCATTGCGGGAGCCACCGTCGGGGCGGTGGTGGGTGCCAGTGCCATTGCGGGGCTCGCCTTTTTCTTAATCAAGCGCCAACGCGCCCAGCCCAGCCAAGAGACTACTGCTGCTGCTACTTCTACCCCTGCCATGGCGCATCCACCCGTCTATGGATCACCTCAGACAAGGCTGGCGGAACTTAGTAGTGACGCGGTGACACATGAATTGGGGACGGATGGAGGGAGTGGCACGCAGGATGTGGCTTCTGGGAATTGGTGGCAAAAGACCCCGAATATACCAGAGATGGATGGGGTTGCGAGGGTTGAGAAGGGGTGACCGTGTAATTTGAAAGGTCGATTTTATCAAGTTGGGTTTCGCGCTGTATCCTGGCGTTGTGCAATTGTCTTTCAATAGCGCTATAGACTTCCTGTAAACATTTCCCACTGAATGCAGGTAGACCCTCAAAGGACGCGTCAGAAGTAATTACGGGATTCATCAGGATCTGTGAGCTGTCAAAGCACCATCGCTAGCCTTCCTTCGTTCTTAGTAGTGTATGTCAGACGCCGCCATGAGTTGAGAGAATGATATGAGCAATGGCGTGGTGGGGTAGTAGGGAAAGCAAAGAGGGATTGGAGGTTAAAGTAAATGAGATGATCAATTAATTCCCATGACCTTCGGAGATTACTCGACTGGTTATGGAAATTGCTGCACTATGCTCGGAGTCCCTCCCGATCCATGTGCTTCCCTCGTAGGGTTACTATAATTAACACGGTCGGTGGCACACTAAACCAAACAAACAAAACCACTCAGTCAGTCCGTAGTGACTGCCTAAGGCGACGATCGGAACCACGTCGTAGTGGTATTCCCACCCCCTTCAAACATTAGTGCTACAGTCCATGACCGCAACAGATAATTCCCAAGGATCCATTGCAATCTAGAATTACAGACCAAACACCTATCTGGGTCCATACTAGTTTGATAGTAGATACTAGGGTAGATAACGACCAAGGATTTAAAGGGGTTGGTACCGTTCCTGGCTTTATTGCCCGTCCCTGAAAGACAGAGAGAGGATCCACTCAAATAGATAGCATCACCGAACCCCTGTATCGAGTCACCACGCTAGCAGGGAAGGAACAGGGTTTTGTTTGGGTTCACCGTGCGCAGCTATCTTTTCATGAACTTCGACGTGGAGAAATTATCCCAACACTATAGCGGAGATGGCGAAATTCCAAAGGTTGAGAAAAGTTGCTCATCGTTGAAAGAGAGGGAACATATTATGGCAGAGAAAAATACTACCCTGACAAGTAAGGGTAAGTTCTAAGTTCCATGGGTTGGCGCGTCCCGAAATTTTCTCTTGCTTCTCCGACGGTGCCGTCATCGCGTCACGGGCTTTTGCAATTTTACTGCTCGTGCGTTGATTGGTTAATATGTTCCCAGTGACTTTAAAGTGGGGTATAAGCAGCCAATCATAACATGGACGTGGGGCAGCGGGCACCACCGTTGCCCGGATTGGATTTATGGATGCCATCATCAGTCACTTTCGTACTACTCAGTTGTTCTACTAGTACAAAGTACTGGTTCGAGTAGGACGCCTGAGTAGTATTCAGACTGAGAAATGGTGGTAAACATAAGGGAAATGAGACGGAGAAATATTGAGATTGACGGTAAGGAAATAAATCTATAATGTGAACAGGGTATCGTCGTCACCGGCATATTGCCAAGGTTTGCCAGCCCTATTGGCACCGTTTAACTTCCTCGGGGACCCATCGTGGTTCATTTGGCGGCATGGATTGATAGGCAGCACCAGGGTCTCCTTCACTCTTGCCCTTGTACTCTAGTCCACCGCCGTGAAATTACTTTATCTCCATCCCCCCAAAGTGCCTCTTATACCTTTCCATTGACTCCCCCCTTTACCTTGTATTTGCGTTTTTTTGTTTTTTGTATTGATCTGTCTCTGCCCGTCTCTCTTGTGCCACGATTCTGTCGACTCTACCCTCATCCCCCATGCGTCACAATTACCCTCACTGGATTGTCTCTTCCCGCGTTGGCTGAACGGAATACTGGATTTGGAACTGCTGCTATGCCTGATGCTCGAGTACTTCAGCTTTGACTTGGTATCTCGCAGCCTCATCTATCCTTAACAAATCGCCTACGGTCTATTTTGCGCATTCATTCCTGATCCTGTGCTATCTTTACCCAACATTCTCTCCGCCCGCCCATTTGACGTCACACAAAATGGGCCGGGAACCCGTCCCCCGTCGCCGTCCTTACTGGGCGATCCCATCGCGCAAGGTCACAAATATCCTCGCCTTGATTCTCTTCGTCGTGGTCGCTGCCTCGGTTTTCAAACTCGAAATCGGTGCGCCCCCCTTCGACCCGACATCGTTATATCGCCACCACTCGCACCCTGGCGAACCCGATTTCTGGAAGTGGGAAACCACCTCCCGCTTCCCGCATGTGCAGAACCCCGTCAAAAATGATGATCAGCTTTGCGACTTGTTCCCTGCCTACCTGCTTTCGCGCGTCCAGGTTGTTCTGAAAATCGGCGCCTCCGAACCGGCCGATCGTGTCAACGCGCAAATCTCCAGCGTCACTCGCTGTATTCCGAACCTCATCATCGTCTCCGATCGAGAGTCGCAAATCAAAGAACATCGTGTTCACGACATCCTAGCCGCCCTTCCTGAATCCTTCCGAGCCAACACTTCCGACTTCGAGGCCTACGATGCGCTTCAGCGAGGCGATGACAAGATTGTGGCGGCGCCGCAAGGATGGAGGCTCGATCGCTTTAAATTCCTCCCCATGGTAGAGCGCGCACACGAAATCAACCCTTCGGCGGATTGGTTCGTGTTTTTGGAATCGGATACATACGTGGTCTGGGATAATATGTTCCGGTTTTTGGATCAATTTGATCCACATACCCCCTTGTATATGGGCTCTCCGTCCCCGGGACGGCGGATCAACGATAAGGAAGTTTCTTATTTCGCCTACGGCGGCTCAGGATTCGTCCTTTCCACGGCAGCTGTCGATAAATTGGTGTACAGAGAAGTTGGATCTCACGGAGAGTACATTCAGCCCACGCTGAGTGAACAGTACGAGGATATCGTTAAAGCGGACTGCTGTGGTGATTCGATACTCGGATGGGCATTGCATGAGAAGGGCGTAGAGCTCTCAGGCTTCTGGCCCATGTTCAATCCCCATCCACTGCATGGAATCCCGTTTGACGATGCCTACTGGTGCCAGCCAGTCATTAGTATGCACAAGACACTGTTGCCGGACATGACTGGGCTGATGCGGTGGGAAAACCAGCGGGATCGCACTGTAAGCTTTCTGCCTCCTATCCATTAGCATCCCACTAACGAAGTCATTCCAGCGCCCATTGATCTACGCCGATCTGATGGAATACCTGAAGCTGGGAACCGTTGACCATATGTCCGATTGGGACAACGGTGACTGGGGTGGCTGGCAGGAACCTCCCGAGTCACCGGCCCACGGCTCCTTTGAAGCCTGTCAGACAGCCTGCCATGAACATGCCCAGTGCCTCAGTTTCACATACGACTCCTCGGGACATTGTGTCTTTGTTCGCACGATGCGGCTGGGCGCGAAGAAGAAACTGGGCGATTCGTCGGTGCGATTATCTTCCGGATGGGATTTGGAGAAAATCAAGAACTGGCGGGCATCTCACCAGTGTGAGAAGGTGATGTGGATGAAGCCCAGCACGGAACGCATCTTCTGATTTTGCTGATACCCGAATAACTGGCGAGTGGGTGTTCATGTTTTGACGATTGTAAATACTATGATAGATGTCTTGGATTATGCCATACTAACGATAGATAATCTTAATTATTAGCTGTCCGATCACATGCCTGATTTACATACTCGTATTTGCACCGAGTAGGGCTGCTTGGCTGTTTATCCCGTGTCATCATACTTTGTACAGCTTCCCCTCTGCTTATCACTGCCCGATAGCGATATGTTATCGCCCAGCACGAGTTTATCGGCTGCGGGAGCCAATCGGTCGTCGCCTATGCCGGAGCGGTTCCGCCATTGGTTCCCCCAATTGTACCTGTCAGGCCAGGGTAAGCTCTCATTCCGCCCATTCCGAGGTTCCGAGACAATTCACCAGACCCAAAATGGAAAGTCATACGCCAGGGTTCATACATATGAGCTCAGCTTCCCCCGCATATTCCCCCAGCCGTGTGGTTGTGCTGTTCATCTTTCATTCATTCTTCATCTTCACTTCCCTTCAAAATGCTTCCTCATCCCCTTGCCATCCTCTCTGAAGAGGAGACCAACATTGCTCGCAATGTCATCATCGCACAGCACCCTAACACAGTCATTGACTTCCGGGAGATCTATCTGTCAGAACCTCCCAAAGCACAGCTCCTCGAGTTTCTGGCTCTGGAGCACTCTGGTCGTCTGAGTCCAACCTCTCCTCGTCCGCCTCGTCTGGCCCTCTGTCAGTATGATGTGATTGGTAACGACCGCATCCCCTCTTTTGAGGAATCTGTTGTCGATGTTGGGACACGCCAGCGTGTACAGCATCGTGTCGTTGGAAAGGAGCATCATGCTTCCTTGACTTTGTACGTATCTCGAGTAACCTTTTGGACAACTGAGTACTAACGCAGTGTCTTCAGGAGCGAGTTTGATACCCTGGTCGAGCGTTGCTTCGCCTCCCCCCTCTTCCAAAAAGCCCTAGCCGACTTCGACCTCCCCGAAGGCTTTGAGGTCGTCATCGAGCCTTGGCCATATGGTGGACTGGACTACGTTGAGGAGAAGCGCCGATACTTCCAGGGCCTCTGCTTTGCCACCGATACGCGCAAGAACAACCCTGATGCCAACTTCTACTCCTACCCTCTGCCCCTCATTCCTGTCATGGATGCGCTTACCCAGGAGATCATCCGGGTCGACCGTCCCGCTACAGGTGGTAAGGGTGAGGGTCTGACGGAGCAGACCTTCAAGAGAGACATCATTGGTCACTGCAAAGACTCGGACTATGTGCCAGAGTTGCTTCCAGGTGGTACACGCAAGGATCTGAAGCCGCTGAACGTGGTTCAACCCGAAGGTCCTTCCTTCCGCATTACCGAGGAGTTCCTCGTAGAGTGGCAGAAGTGGCGGTTCCGCGTGGCCTTCAACCCCCGCGAGGGTGCTACCATTCACGACGTCTGGTACGATGGCCGCAGTGTGCTTTACCGACTGAGTGTTAGTGAGATGGTAAGTTCATTTGGCCCACAGCATGGATCACTAGCTGACTCGATAGACTGTACCTTATGCCGATCCTCGCCCTCCGTTCCACCGCAAGCAGGCGTTCGACTTTGGTGATGGTGGTGGTGGTAATATGGCCAACAACCTCTCGATCGGATGCGATTGCCTCGGTGTTATCAAGTACTTTGATGCCGTGATGACTGGTGCCGATGGTACGGCCAAGAAGATGCCCAACGCCATCTGCTTGCATGAGCAGGATAACGGTATTGGCTGGAAGCACTCCAACTGGCGAACCGGTCGCGCAGTGGTGACCCGTCACCGGGAACTAGTTGTGCAGTTCATCATCACCCTGGCCAACTACGAGTACATCTTCGCTTACAAGTTCGACCAATCGGGCGGCATCACGGTCGAGTCGCGCGCCACTGGTATCTTGAACGTGGTCAACATCGACGCTGGCAAGGTCAGCGAGTACGGCAACGTCGTCAGTGGCGGCGTTTTGGCCCAGAATCACCAGCACATTTTCTGTGTGCGCATCGATCCTGCTATCGACGGGCCCAACAACTCGGTGCAGGTGGAAGAGTCCCATCCGGTGCCCATGAACGCGGTCACCAACCCGAATGGCAACTTCTACAAGGTCAACACAGAGACCATGGAGCGCGCTGGCTTCTTCGATGCCGCGCCGGAACTTAACCGTACTGTCAAGATGGTCAACCCTCACAAGAAGAACCCGATCAGTCAGAAGCCCGTTGGATACAAGTTCATTCCGCTGGCGACACAACGACTACTGGCCGATCCCAACTCCATCCAAGCGAGACGCGCACAATTTGCTCAGCACCACGTGTGGGTGACCAAGTACCGCGATGGCGAACTCTATGCCGGTGGCCGGTACACGCTCCAGAGTCAGGAGGAAATCGAGGGTGTGTCGGACGCAGTGAAGCGAGGTGATTCCGTGGTGGACACAGATGTTGTGGTTTGGAGCACCTTTGGCATTACCCACAATCCTCGTGTGGAAGATTGGCCTGTGATGTGAGTGTTCCCTATACTATCTACTATGGCAGCATGCTAACTAGATTAGGCCTGTTGAGATCTTCCAGCTGATGATCCGACCTGCGGATTTCTTCACCGCTAATCCGTCGTTGGATGTGCCATCCGACAAGAACGTCTCTTCGCGGGTGGTCGGCAACGACTGCTGTCGTAATGCACACATCTAAGACTTGGTAGTACTATTTTTGGACATGAATGACGACTACAATGTACATATATAGCTGGGGTTCGCACATACTGGGGGGATCTGGTACTTCAATGATATATATTGGATGGATTTGAGTGATCGTATTACGAATAAAGGTACTTAGCTACCGCACGACCCACAGGATTACGATAGTCTTATCAGCCTTATGCCCGATCGATTGGGGTAATGATCAATAAAATAGTACAGCCGACCCGGTGTGTCTAAAATGTGGTGGCCTGGGGCTAAGAATTGAAGAAACTCCGCTCCGCCGACCTCGGATTGCTCGGAATGAAATTTAAAGTTTGCGCCTCCCTCCAGCAGTGTTTCCGAACCCCGTCTTCATTCCTCGTGCACCAACGCATACGTCGGAATCGATCGATTTTGTACTACCCTAGTGGATTGCTGAATGAGACATTCGATCTAACGCGATCTATTTGTGTTCTGTTCGCTAAAGCAAAACCCCATGGACCGCGACTCAGTTAAGCGAGGCAGCAACACTCCGGAACCGCCTCGGAGCAAAAAGCGCGCCAAATATACCCAGGTCGCTTGGTGCGCTAATCCTCCACAGATGGTTTCTCGGCCTGACTGACCCCCTTAGCAATGAGTGTAAGCGACGGAAGCTGAAATGTAGCGGCGAGCCTGTCTGCTCCCGCTGTGCCAGGGACAATGTTCGTTGCGTCTACGCACCGAATGCTCACGTTGTCGCTAGCACGGCTTCTCCTTCGGTCGAGGATCCTGTCAAAGATGAGAGGTAATTCTTATCCTGGCCAGCCGGAGATTATTACTTACACAGGTATGACAGATTGTCTACTCGGCTGCAGACCGTCGATCAGCAAATTGCATCCCTTCAGCGAGAAATGCGAGCCATGGCCGCTCGTCTTCGTCACCTGGAATCAACATCGGTGACCACTCCAGCAAACAATACTAGCATACCCACCTCCATGTCGACTGTTTCTTCGGCATCGGTCAATACCGGACTGCAGCGGATTCTGAACCGTCCCAAATCTCCCAGCTACGTCGGTCCCACCAGTGCCGAGTTTGGCCTCACTGCGCGGCAGAAGGCATCGGAGGACAGCGATGGCGATGCAGATGAAACCGACTCGGCAGCAGCACCGAGCCCAGCACCTGCTCAAGACTCAGAAGCCCTATCCGGTGACCCTCTTCGGTGTATGGGTCTCACAGAGACCCTGCGACTGGTGACGGTCTATGAGAATACTGTTGGCCTGATCTACCCGTGCGTGGACCTCGACAGCGTGCGCGCGTACGTGGTCGAGTACTTCCGGGATGAGAGGGACGGGCCCAATGAGACACGTTCGCCTGAAACCGAAGACCAGGATTGGTTCTTTGCTCGGGACGTGGAGGTGCTGAAAATCATTGTGGCAACAGCCTTGTTAGCGGAATCTCACGGTCGCAGCGAAAGGGCGGCCTGGTTGGCAGACAGCGTCGAGGATCAGTTTGCTTCTCGGTACAAGGTCCCTGAAGTGGATATGAAGGAGTTGCTTATCCTGACCTTAGTGGTGCGTTGAGTCCTTAAGCTTCTGCTGCTCCAGCTAACAGATTAGTCCATCTTCCACTCCTACCGCGACGACGAAGTGATTGCGTGGCGGACAATCGGGTCCGCTGTTCGGGGCGCCGTCCAACTCGGCCTACACTGTCAGGAGACATGGCTAAGAACGGGGGGTGTATTTCCGGGCGAACTGCACAGAACATGGGCCAGCCGGCTGTTCTGGTGCATGTACGTACTCGATCGGAAATGGTCGTTCGGAACGGGTCTGCCGTTCGCCATCCAGGATTCCGACATGGACACGAACCTACCGGAGCCGGGCACCTCGACGCCATACCTGACCTGCATGATCTCGTACGCACGACTCAGCTCCAAAATCTGGGGCCTTGTGGTCGGCTGGCGCACGCGCCCTCGAGCCGCGACGGCAGACTACTGCTCATACCTAGACTTTCAAGTGCAGCAATGGATCCAATCCATCCCGCCAGAGCTGCGCTTCGACCCGTCGCAGCGATCATCCTCCACAGCACCCAATGCGCAGACAGACAGCATGATGATGCTTCAAGTCCTACTAGCACTGCAGGCGAATCAGCTGCGCATTCTCGTCTACAGACAATACCTCCTCAGCACAGAGAGCATCGAAGAAAGCGTGCCGAGTGCATCCATCGCCGTCGAAACCGCCAAAAGCACCGTCCACATGCTCGACTTCTTCAGCCGCGTCTCAGGAATCTACTTCCAACGTCCCGAGCCATTCAACTACTTCCTCATCTCAGCCCTCGCTGCGTTGTTCCTCGCTGTACTCCACGCCCCCTCCCGGTTCAGCCAAGTCTGTCGTCCAGAATTCTACAAAGCCGTCGACATGGTCCGCAGATCATCCACTCGTGCCCGCACATCCCGCCGTCTGCAGAAGATCATCCGGAATCTGAAACTGATTCGCTCAAACTTGGGAGCTAAGTCTCCCCGACAAGCTGGAGCTCAGCTACAACACCAGCACCAACACCCACACCAGACACCCAAGCGACAGCCTTCAATATCTACGACCATGTCTGCAGCCGTACCTTTTACCCCGGTGGATACACCCTACCCACCACATCCGCAGCACCAACTTTCGGGATTCAACCCCGTTCATCAGCAGTCAGTGTCGGTGTCCGCGTACTGGCCCGCAACAGCAGCAGGAGGGAACGCAGCGGTTGATGATCAACAGGAAAGCTGCGAGGATCTGACGAGTTTCTTTGAAATGGCGGGCGGGTTCTACTTTGATCCTAGGGCGCAGGCTGAGGTGCCTGAAGCAGGAAATGGGAACGTTACTGGGCCTGATGGGGCAGGAATCGAGGCATTGAACGCAGAAGATGAGGCCTTGACGAGGGTCATGGCAGGGTTACTATAACTATAAGGAAATCACACAAAGATGGATGGTTACGAAAAGGGTAGACACCTCAGGCTGGCCTGTTTGCATATGCGCGGGTTCCTATATACATAGTACCATCCAGACAACATATAGACTCATGTTCCGGGGACAATACTCCATACGAAAGACAAGACACTACTTACCCACTAAGAAAGTCCGTAACACTGGATATGAACAGAGCACCACGTATCCAACTACAATATTACGTTCGATACATTAACACCGTTGCAAACAATTCACTGATATCAGAGAACAGTAGCTCGCTACCACTTAGTTCTAACACTCAAGATGAAAGTGGGACCGGTATATAGTATAAATAAGAACTCCCTCGTCTGCCCCTCTTCCTCCTTTCTCTCTTTCTTTCCTTGGCTAACTTTCGCGTTGCAAAGAGTGTATGTATGTATGTATGAAGAGGTTATTGCATCCTATCATAGTTATGGGCTGTGCGTTACTGACAGAGTATGGGCGAGCAGCATTAGTACTACAACTACATCTTCTCATACTACCACTACCACCACCACCACCACCACCGACCGCCATGTCTCCCCCGCACCAAGTATGTCATGAAGCACAACTACAACAATACTCCCATTCTCACACTACGTTCTAGTCCATCATCATCCAAAGAGGAATATTTCTGGCCCCCCGGGTCCCAAACTCCGCTCGCGCGCTTCAGCGCAAGAAGATGAAGAAAATCAAGGCAAAGAAGGCCGAGAAGGAGAAGTTCGAGTCTGGACGTGCGTCGGTCAAAGAAATGGTAAGCGATGCCTGCTGCCTTATTTATTCCTACTTAGGGCGAGGAGACTAGGGCTGACTACGGATGAAGATTGCCGAGGCCGAGCGCCTCGATAAGGCCGCTGCTGTTGAAGAGGAGGAAGCGCGGAGGAAGCGGGCCCGCGCTGCGAAGCTGCGGGGGGTGGCGGCGGCGAAAGGGGAGGAGGAGAAGGGTGAGAGGGAGGACAAGAAGGAGGAAGAAGAAGAGAAGAAAGAGAAGAAGAAAGAGAAGAAGAAAGAGAAGAAGAAAGAGAAGAAGAAAGAGAAGAAGAAAGAGAAGAAGAAAGAGAAGAAGGAAGAGGAAGACGAAGAGGAAGAGGAAATGCTAATCAGCTTTGAGGATGAGAGTGAGCAGATGATCATCGAAGAGAATATTTAGATTAAATATGATAATTGGATCCATTGTGAGAGAGCTTTTTTTAACTAATCTATACAGGGGAATTCCGGCTGACATGAATATGACGCATTACCGGAGTTCTAGAGGTAAGACAGGTACGACAGATAATAAATGAGGGGTTTGGGTTGATTCATCAGGTAAATTGAATGCATACATCTTCAAAACCAGTTGCACACCACTGTCTTAAGATCTACTGGACGTTGATGCCATGTTCTTCGCTGCTCTCGCTGCAACTTGCATCGTCTGTGGCACGGAGATTAATGGGCAGCATCGCTGGGCAAAGCATTTCCGGGCAGGTGAGCTCCAGCTTAACTCCTCCCCCCAGTTTCCTTGGAATCTTTTACCCCAATCCCTCTAACCCATCCGTCAGTCTACTGCTCCTCGACAGGTGTGAGGGTGACGGTGCCCTTGTGCCCGGCACCTTCTCTTCCTGCAGTCCGTATCCCAGCCGATGCGGTGACGGATGAATGGGTTTCCGAGAGGATGCCCGAGCATGACCAGACCGATCTGTACGTGTTCCATGAGCCCTGCTGGAGACGCCTGGTCAGCCATTTCAGTCCCACAAAGTTCGATGTGGGCTATGTTTTTGAGGCCCTAGAATATTTGACACTGCCCTTGCTACGTGGCTTTCATGAATTCGCACCAACGGACTTAAAGCCTCCTTACATGTGGGAGGCAGTGAGCGAAGGCCTTGTTCGTCAGGCTGATTATGCCAACCTGGACGACCTCATGCGATTTGCAAAAGCACTCCCGAGCCCATGGCGTCCGGTGATGTCTTCTGCTCCATTCGTAGCAGACATCTTCCAGCGATTGCCACTAGAACTAATTGAAATGATCGCTGTTCTATTGCCCACGCGAGACGTACTACATCTCCGCCAGGTATCACGCGGGGTAGCTCCGGTTTTCAGCAGCTCGGCCTTCTGGAAGACACGTTTCGACTTGAACGCAGAGCGCGGGTTTCTTTGGCCAGTCGTGCGAGACTTGATAGATACAGCAAAAGGCACTGGATTCGATTGGAGGCTCCTCTACCACTGTACTTGCCATCTCACCTGCAGCCAATGGTTTCGCTTAGAGCTTAAATCCTGGGGGGCGCTCCGGTGGCTTCGGGATACAGCCCTGGCTTTAGCCTCCGGGGCGCCCCGTCCGCTCGACTATCACGGTGATGCCTTACATTACTACCATAATGCCATGATTGGAGATACGCACCTCGAGGTGGTAGACTGCGATTCTCAGGTGCTTTACATTGCGGTTTCTGCACATGATGATTGTGGCTCACATGATGAGCCTGGGTCTGTGTGTATCACAGGACTGGAATTCTTTTTCGAGGATGGGCCAACGGCCATCTTGGGTTACACTTCGCCCAGAGCAAAGAATATTCCCAGAAAGTGGTGGAAAAATTCAAATTCTGAGTGGACGAAAATGGCCCATCCTAGAGTCCGAGTTATGATGGATCTGATCGACTTCAAAGGAATCATGGTGACGCATACACATGATGGGGTTAGTGGTGTGCTTATATTACAAAGCCTTGATGAAAAGAGAGAAGCACGCCGTAAACGGCGGGAGTGTTGTGTAGGATGGAGGGACTACCCTCATCATGCTTATCATGGTTTACGCACTTGTTCTCTGGAAGAGGTCTCACAAGTCGTGGCGGTGTTTGACGTAAGTATATGAGTTCCACTCTCCCTCTTTCCATGTGTTTCTTGTTTCAACATGATTCCCTTCTCTGTATACTAAAACTGGATCATCAGAACCACAGATTGATAGACCTTGGTATACGGGGCCGAACAGCAAAGCGAAAACCGCAATTGTCGGAAAGACAGCGAAGGTCGGAAATCAAATCTTTCAAAGAAAGCGGCAATCTTGCACCAGGTTTGGAGTTGAGATAGGTGTTAATTGTTAAGTAACTTGAGACGAGCTAGCAATAAAAAACACATACATGCTACGGAATATCGATCAGTGGCCCCACCAGGGCCTTTGTAGCTGTTGTAGTCATAATAAATTCCAGTCACAAATGCGTCATATTACCTGCTTTATTCTTTGCGGAGACCACCGTAGAGAAAGTGTCCGTTGCTGAGATATCTGATCAGGTCTGAAGCCTGTGTTACGCAAGCCAGCTAGTGAATCTACATTCACTCGCTGTTTGCTCAAATGTTTGCAAGTGTTAGGATACTATAGATCTTATCAACACCAGCCTTCCTTCCTCTCCTCTTCCCTCCTCGTCTACCGTGTCATTACCAAGTTTGAATCATCAAGGTAAAAAGCTAGACTTTTCATCGCACGGTTCAATCACCCAACATCAACAATGGCACATCACGGACAACCTCAGCCAGTGGAGCCAGTGGGCTCATTCTGGAATGAGCCCATCTGCCAGGACTACCTGGAACGGATCTACCCCGGCCCAGACGACTTTCGCGGTGTTCATCATTTCTGGCCCGTTCTTCTCCGCCATTACTTCACTCTGGAGGATAACTGTGGGTCCGAGAGCGAGCGATGCACCACGCACCCAAGACCCAGACAGCATCTGAATACCTTCGTGGTCCACATTGCTTCTCCTCATCTGCGACGGCGCCGGGTCATTGCTGTCGAAGCTAGGTGGTTTCCCTCCGATACGTCGCCTGGCTGGGAGAACAACTACGACTGGACGCATGTTCGGGAGACGCTCCGGGCCCATATGCTCTCTGATTGGACCATGCGGACGACAGTGCAAACCACGTACGGCATCGTGGCAGTTGGCGACCGTGTTCGCTTTTACTACATGTCTAAGAATGATCTTGAGGGTGAGCTTCGTACCTGGAATGGCCATCCTGTGGATGCCCCAGAGGCGGATCAATCGCCCATCTTGAACATTTTCAGTCTTGTTGACCAGGGAGTGATTCATCAGCTGATGCTTCGTATGCGTCAGGATGTTCTCTCTGGGTGCAATACCTACTAGACAAGCAACGATCACCGGGATTAATGGCTCTGAACACTGGCAGGGCTAAGTGATAGCTCTTTTAGAGCCTGAACTAGGGTCTTGTATTAGCAGGTCTAAAGTGCGGTTCTGGTTGAACCAGAACTTAAGGGCGTGTATCTAGCTGCTCTTTGGTGGCGAAGATGATCGTTGCGTTCAGGATACCGTTAATCCCAACCTAGGGAGTTCCCTTCGGAGCTCTCTCTGGGGCACCCTTTCTTCGGCAGTGCCGTGGGCTGGGAGTCTCGGGGGGCTTCAATGTAGGGAATCATATTAGGGGGTGCCCATCTTCACGACTGCTCTAACAGCGACCAAACCCGCTATCTGCTTATCGGTCTGACACTATGCTGGTCTTTCTTCCTACTTTGTATGCGCACAGCTCTCAATGCTCACAATCCACTCACGGTGCCCACCTACTCCGTCGCCAGTGCCTACGGGGCAATCTCGCCCGAGATCAGCGCTCGGCTCAACTCCAGTTGTGAAGAGATCGGCAGCTGCGGGCCATGTCCACGGTCTCGAAAGCTTTTATTGGATCATAAGCCTTCCCTCTCCGTCATTTCTTTTCCTTCCTGCTTGGTGTTCGATGGGATCAATCTGATTTTTCACAATTGTGTTGTCGAGACTGTGGCCCGACAGGTAATGTTCCGACTTGGCAGGCACACCGTTTCGAAGAGACGCATGGATATGCCTTGGGTAATGCTTCGGTTGCCGTTCTTGTGGTCTTGTGTTCATTCGTCCTGCTGGTGATGGATATTCTACGAAGTCTTGTGCGGGGTTGGTCGTGTTCAGTTCGCCTGCTTAGGGTGATCTTCTTGGCCTGTGCCCGACGAGTGAGGGTTTTGAGATGCCCAGAAAATACTCTACCAGAGATGCCTGAGGCTCTGTGAGCTCCATGCCTGTGGCAAACCAGTCTATACCTCTTATATATGAAACCTTGTTGTAGCACACACCAACATCCGATTAATATATTATATACACATGTAAGAAGACTCGATATGTACATTCCCTGTCCCAAGGAGTCTTAACTTGAGCAGGTAATCTGAATAGTAAATGTAAACGCCCAAAGTTCAAGGCTGAGAAATGGTATAAGCCATCAGAAGATTAATGTCTTCCTCCACCATCCAACTCAGCGATCGGATATTCCGCCGGCAATTCCGCCTTCGCATCCCTTCCTGAGGCCGGCAATTCCACCTGTTCTGTCATGAACGCCCCTGTCCTCGTCGCAGGCAACTCATTCACTCTCTGTACCCTATATCCCTTGTCCGTTGATTGATAAGCCTGCTGATTCGCAGACGATGCGTTCACTTTCCGTCGGCGCAGGAAGAAGAGTAAGAGGAATATGGCTAGCACCGCGCCCGCTGCGACACCGACGCCAATACCTGCTTTTGCTCCGGTCGAGAGGCCTGATGAGCTGCTGGACGAGGTGGACGTGGGTGATATTGTGGAAGAGGTAGCGGTCGCAGGTAAATCCCCGGATGATGTTGTAGATGCTGATGTGGCTGCCGGGGTGGTGAAATCCGTCGATTGCCATCGAATAGAAATACCATATCCGTTGATGTGTCCTGGGCTGGACAAGGAGCTGGAGGTGCTGCTCGTCGATCCGGCAGTGTCGGTCCAGGTGTAGGCGAATTCAATCTCGGTGGATTTGCCGGGTTCCCAGGTGCAGACTTCGAGTTCGGTCCAGCCGGGGGTGTAGGTGGTTCTGGTAGAGTAGGTTTGGATACCGATGCTGGAGATGATAGCCAGTTTTGTCAGTTGGTACTGCAGGTGTTGAGAAAAGGTGTGCAGTATGGATGGAATGCTCACGTCGGACAGCACGTAGCCGCAGTCTCAGTAATAGTCCCATCGATCACGATATTACTGGCTGCAATGCGATATCCGGTGGGACATAGTCCCGGCGAGAAATAGCTGGATACATCCCACCCCGAAGGAACACATTCAGCTGTGTGTGCTGGCCCCAGGTTCATCCATGTTTTGGAGCTGCTGCTGACGAGCCAGAAGTCGCTGATACATGTGCTGGGAGGGACGAATGTTGTTGTTAAAGGAATGGGGGCTGAGGCTGTAGTTGATGCGGATGTTGTTACGCCTGCTGACATGGTGGAATGGGGGTCGAAGGGGATGCTGGGAGCATCAACAGAGGTTGCATTTGGTTGTGTGCCGTGTGAGGAGGAGTTGAGAAAAGGGGGAATAAGCTGATCAGACAGAAAATCTCCAGACTTGGGGCATGCTGGAGACCCTTACTCGGCCTTATGCAGGATCTAAGATGGTTGTGTTTAGCGTGGACTCGGCATTCTTTGGGGGCCAAATGAAGAATGCATGAGTTTCAATTGTGATTGGCTGATATTAGGTTTTGTTGATACGCCCCGCCGGGTTTATAATCCGACATGGTTCTTTCCTGCTAAAATAGTACTTGGATTTGTATGAATTGACAACAGCGGCATGTTCTTATGAAACTTGATGATGCCAATTTTGATAAGCTTTTTCACAGACATGTTTCTTTCTATACATCATCCTCTTACTGGATATTATATAACTGCCCTCTCATCATTGATTAGGCGCTTGTGGGGAAAGCTGTGAGCAATTTCTGGACATAAAATACCCACCCTGGTCACTCTCAACACACTTTGAGTTATTAAAAATGTCAAACATATTTTCTTGTACTCTCTCTGGTTTGATCATATGAATCTCGTGGGGCAGTAGATTTCCAGTTGTTCTCCGCCTCCTCGGAATTGTTCTCCCTCGGATTTATTAGCCCGCACTAGCAGAATTTTCACCGCTCTCGTTCACAGCTGCCTGAGGCTGAAGTTTATGCCTGGGATACTGGAATTTTATCCTTACTTAAATAGACAACCAGCAATTATAAGTATATCGAAGTTTGATGTATACTTTCTATAGCCACATGGTCAATATATACGGTTCGAAAATGTAGTCCTCGCTAGGTTCCAGCACGATCACTGTGGGAGATATATATTCCCAGCCGATATACAAGTCCATGCCCTCAAGCTGACTGGATCTGACTTACTGAAGATATAAAATTCAAATTTCCTCGGAGATAGGTTGCTTCCATTCGGGTTGACACAGGTTTCTTTCCAGTAATCTGTAGTGTTTTTCTGGTGAGAGTTTATTTCACGCGACACGTGTTTGCCCTAAATGCGATGAGCTTCGACGCTTTTGCGTCAAATTTCACTCTTTACGCCCACAAAAATGGACGAGAAAGAATGTTTCTGAACTGAAGCTTTCAGGAATATTAAGATCATTAGTAAAGAGCAGGGATGAAACGCCGTGCATGATATTTGGGGCCCAGCTGCGTATCTACTAAACACCCTAGTCAGCCAATGGCACTAGAGACAAGACTAGTGCTAATGCGGCCCCAAGGCACCCAGTCAAATCATGAACGACACTCAATTAATCATACTTTGTGTCATTCCCTTAAACCTCAACCAGCCAGGATCAAAGATTGACAGCCCACAACATCCATGCCCGTGGACCACCAAGCGGGAGAAAAAGTGGACCTCGCGCTGCTGATCTCCGTGCCGGCACTCACAGCATTCTGACACCCGAGGGGATGCTTTCCATCATGAATCACTTCTACAGCCATGGTCTAGAATGTTTTGTTTATATCAAAGTCCTGCCAAGCATTGTCCGGAGAATCTTTGCCGGCCATCTACACCGTATCTTCATGGCATGATGCTTCACCGTAGTTTAGCTGAAAC